GTCTCGAACCCGCGGTCTCAGGCAATCCACTCACCTCAGCCTCCCAAAGGCGTGGGATTACAGGCTGAGCTACCGAGCCCGGCTCCAGTCATTTTCTTATAGTATTGCATTGGATGTTCAAGGTCCATTATATGAGTGAGAACATGTGATATTCTGATCTTTGTTTCTGTGAGAGGTCACTCAGTATTATAGACTCTAGTTCCATTCAGGTTGCTGCGAAATTCATGATTTTGTTCTTTTTTATGGCTGCGTAGTATTCCATCGTGTATGTGTACCACATTTTTTTAATCCAGTCCTCTTTTGATGGGCAGCATGGTTGTTTCCAGGTTCTTGCTATTGTGAACAACGCTGCAATAAACATACGTGTGCAGGTATCTTTTTTATAGAGTGATTTGTGTTCTTCAGGGTATATTCCCAGTAGGGGGATTGCAGGGTCATATGGAAGGTCAATTTTTAGAGCTTTTAAGAATCGCCACACTGCTTTCCACAGAGGTTGCACTAGTTTACACTCCCACCAGCAGTGTAGAAGTGTTCCCTTTTCACCACACCCTCTCCAGCAGCTGTTATTTTTTGAGTTGTTGATAATTGCCATTCTGCCAGTCTTCATTTCTGACGGTTCATCTTAAGGCGGAGGACCCCTACAAGTGAGTGGTATCCCAACAGGAAAATAAAACAAAACAAGGAAAAGGCAGTTCCCAAAGTCCCAGAGGAAGACAGATCACTCAGCTTCTCAGTGAGGGCCTCTTTCTCTGTGACTTGCATGTCCCCTCCACTTAATTTTCTAACCATGAAAGGGTCAGCAGCATTTATAATATTAATAGCACAGCATTTGTGCTATCATTTTAATCATCTTTTGAGTATTGCCTCCAACAGTTAACACAAAAGACTGCTTTATCCTTGGCTTTGGATTGCTGAACTGTATTTTTTTTTTCTGGCTGACTTTCTTTCCTGAATATACTTGCTTCAGTTCATACTGAAATTAGTGTGTGACTCCCTGAGCTGGTGCTGGCTCATGTGCAGGAAGATGTGCCGGAAGCAACCTAGGAGTTGGCTCACCCATAGAGCCATGGTCTCCTGCTGAGGGCTGAGGGTGGAACCTCCGTGGCCACAGAAGGATGTCAACCATGTTTGGTTTATCCCCTCTTTGTCTCCTCTGGTAGAAAAGGGAGCTCAGCAATTTTGAGTATCTTATGTACCTCAACACCATGGCTGGGAGGACCTACAGTGACTACATGCAGTACCCAGTATTCCCCTGGGTCCTCGCGGACTACACCTCAGAGGTAAGACATTCACGTGGAAACCATGCAGCTTTCCTAAGGCTTTCTTATGTCAATATCCATAGTACCCTAAGTCAGCATGCAGAGCTCCTGCTAGGAGGTTCAGACTCCTGACTCCAAGTACATGGGCCTAACGGCTACTGAGTGCTTAGATCCCGCCAAGCTCAGTGCTTGGCAGCTTTTGGAGTTTGGCTGCCTGGGGTTCTGTTAAAATGAGACCCAGAGGGTTCCCTGGTTTACTGTCTTCATGAAGCCCATCTTCAAAGATTACCAAAGCTCCAACCTGGGGGTGAGTGGCAGTCACAGATGAGGTCGGCTACGGGAGCTATTCCTAGAATAAAGGAGAGAGAGAGAGAAAGAGAGAGATACAGAGAGACAGAGAGATACAGAGAGGGAGACACAGAAAGACTGAGACATAGAACAAGCCACTCTCCCGGTAGCTTGACTTCATACCTGAGATGATGGTGTCTGGGCTTCACCTGGGATCTGGACTGACATGTAGTGATAGGAGGCTGATGGCAAGATGGCAAGACCACATCATTCATCTCTTTTGGCCCTTGCCGAGACCTCAGGAGGTAGAGGGAGGGAAAGTAGGGAAAATATACAGCTAAACCAAGGTGATGTCTGTGCCTGTGTGGGGACAAAGCAGGCTATGAAGCAGTGTCCTGGGCACCTGGGCTCTGACTATCGGGAGATATGTTAGACCCTGTGTCGAGTACAGAAGGTGGCTGGGTCACTTGTTCAGATGAGCCCCTGCCAGTCCTGCCTAGGTCTGCTGGAATAGCAGACCTTTAGGATTTGATAGAGTGGACTCAGTCTTTTGTGACCTCCCATCCCCACTTAAGACATTTCATACAGCAACACTTTTCCCATCAGCACATGTTGCTTCTTATTACACTAATGATCCATCTTAGGCTTAGACACAGCTTATGTGTTACAAAGTGGCAGTTTACAAACCTTTTTATTCAGTCTGTACTGTGTATTTAAAATTTTTTGATTACTTACCAGCATAAAGATTGGGAGATTTCTTCTTAAATATCTGGATTTCCAATACCTCTTGGAAAATCAGGATATAGAGCAACTAGGAACTGTTCTAAGCTAGCAAGATCACAGAAGCTGAGGTGGGGTCTTACACATGTCTCCTCCAGAACTCACTGGGATGTTAGAAGGGGATGCCTCACTCTTGTGCCCCTTGGCTTCTGCAGGCCTTGGAGGTGGTGACAGTCTCTCCTGGCAGCAAAAGAAGAGTCATACAGAAACACCTCCTCCTATAAAGAAATGCAAACCCTGGGAATATTCAACTCCTTCATTAACACACAGACCATCTCTGCTAAAAGAAAATGTCTCCCAGAACACCTGGCTCTAAAACTCTTCCTGTCTCCTCTATTGTGTATTCCCAAGGGAGGGGAAGGGGTGACCATTGCATGCTTTCACTGTTCGGAAGGAAGTGGGCCTCCAAAAAAACAAAGATGCTCCTTTTGTTTCTTCCCAAAGCAGATGATTACTAACTTACCTGGCAGGGGAGATACCATGATCACTAACTTCCTATAAAATCAGTTTGATTCTAAGCAAGAACACTGAACTGTCAGAGTACATTACTCCATGAGGGCAGGAACCAAATGCTTTAGAGACAATGGGACTTCTCTTGAAAATCTCTTTTCTGTAACTGGTGGCCATGTTCTAATTTGGGTCAACTTGGAACAGGTTCAGTGTGAACTCAATCTTCTCCTCTTATTTTTTCTCTCTCCCCTTTTAAGTCTTTGTGGATCATTGGCTTAGGGGGCCATAAAACCCCAGCCCACCAGCTAATTGCCAGAGGGGGGTCAGACCAAATGACAATAAACCAATAAAGAGAACCATAAAACTAAAGAGCATGGCTCTTAGGGCACTAGGGGATAAGGGGGGAGGGAGTTAACTCTGGTTACACATCTGCCTTCTAGACGTTGAACTTGGCAAATCCCAAGACTTTCCGGGATCTTTCAAAGCCCATGGGAGCTCAGACCAAGGAAAGGAAGCTGAAATTTATCCAGAGGTTTAAAGAAGTTGAGAAAACTGAAGGTAAGTAGATCCAGCTTGAGTTTTGTGCAGTGCTGATTACCTGAATGTCCTGAAAAGATCATTGATAACAATGTAGGCTCTCACATAACCTATAAATAATTGTATTTGAATAGAGAACTCTCTAATCCAGTGGTAAAAATATCCTGGAGAGTTTCTAAAAATACTGACGTCCGGGTCTCACCTCCAGAAATTCTGACTTAATTAAGTCTGTGGTTCTGCAAAGCTCAGGTGATTCTAATATGAAGCCTGGACAGAGAAGTATCATGCTGAGAGCTAATAATACCTCTACAACTTGGAGCAGACAATGGCAGAGGACCTGCTATTCATGTAGCACTTTCTATATGCCAGGCACAGGCCAACCTGCATTTGTATATGCAGTGGTCCATTTCACAGAGAAGGAAAGTGAAACTCAAGAGAGTTTAAGCATCACTTTCACAATCACAGTCTCTAATTGGCAGAGCCTGCATTTTTCTGGCTCTAGAACCCAGTTCCTAAACTTTGTTCAGTTTTGTCACATTCACAAGCCGCCTGTACTTTTATTGTCTTTTTTAAAAATTCATTTATTTTAAAGATTTGGGTACAATTCAGGATTAGGTATACAAATGATCATTCTACAGGCAAAGTTTGTGCCTGACTTTGGTCCCCACATTGTCTGGTTGAGATCAGGTACCCTTATTGATGAAGTGTGTCCCCCCTTCCCCTGATAGGGTCCCGCTACTGCCAATTCCTTTCTTGTGGTATTATGATAATTGTTCAGGGTCCGCTTATGAGTGAGAACATGTGGTTGTTAGTGGAGGCATTGTCAAAGATGAGTTGGTTGAGAAATTGAGGTGTTGGAAGCTGGAATCTCTATCTTGTCCTATTGGTCTATATGTCTGTTCTTGTACCAATACCAGGCTGTTTTGATTACTGTAGACTTATAATAAAGTTTGAAGTCTGGAAGTGTGATACGTCCCACTTTGTTTCTTTTGCTGAGGATTGTTTTGGCTTTGTTTCTTTATTTCTGTGATAAATCACTGAGTATTATAGACCCTAAATTCATCTAAGTTGCTGCAAAGATCATAATTTTGTCCTTTATGACTGCAAAATGTTCCATCATGTATATTTACCACATTAAAAAAAGATCCAGTCTACTTTTGATGGGCAGCATGATTGGTTCCATGTTTTTGCTATTGTGAATAGTGCTGCAGTAAACATGTGTGCACAAGTATCTTTTTTGAATAATGATTTGATTTCCTCTGGGTATATTCCCAGAAAAGGAATTGCTGGATCATATGGAAGGTCAATTTTTAGATCTTTAAGGAATCACCACACTGTTTTCCATGGAGGTTGTATTAGTTTGCACTCCCACCAACAGTGTAAAACTGTTCCTTTTCCCCTGCATCCTCTCCAGCATCTGTTGTTATTTGAGTTATTGATGATGGCCATCCTGACTGGAAATAGGTGGTATCTCAGTGTGGTTTTAATTGGCATTTATTTAATGATTAGTGAGACTGAGTATTTTTTCCTGTATCCATTGGCTGCTTGTATGTCTTCTTTTGAGAAGCATCTATTTATATCTTTGCCCACTTTTTAATAGGTCTGTTTTTTCCCCTGGCATATTTGAGCTCCTTATAGATTCTAGATGTTAGGCTTTATCAGGTATATAGTTAGCAAATATTTTTTCCCAGTCTGTGGGCTGTCTCCCAGCTCTTTTGATGGTTATGCTTTGCAAAAGCTTTTCAGTTTCATGAGTCTATCTTGTCTCTTATGGCATGGGCATTTGGAGTTTTGATCAGGAATTGACTGCCAGTTCCAATTTCCATCAGGGTGTCTCCTGCATTTTCTAAAGTTCTTGTAGTTTGAGGCTTTATGTTTAGGTCTTTGATCCATTTAGAGTTGATTTTTGCATATGATGACAGGTAGGGGTCTTGTTTTAATCTTCTGCATGTGGTCAGCCAGTTTTCCCAGCACCATTTACTCAGTAAGTTTTCTCTCCAGTGGTTGTTAGGGGAGGCTTTGTCAAAGTTGATTTGGTTGAGAAATTAAGGTTTTGCTTCTGGAATCTCTATCCTGTTCCATTGGTCTATATGTCTATTATTGTACCAATACCAGGTTGTTTTGATTACTGTAACCTTATAATAAAGTTTAAAGTCTGGAAGTGTGATACCTCCTGCTTTGTTTCTTTTGCTCAGGATTGTTTTGGCTATTCGTGGTCATTTACATATCCATATGAATTTCTGTATTGTCTTTTCCAGGTCTGAGAAGAATGATGTTGGTAATTTAATGGGTACTGTGTTAAATCTGGGTAGGATGGATATCTTAATAATGTTGATTCTTTCAATGCATGAGCATGGAATATTTTTCCATTTGTTTGTGTCATCTTTGATTTATTTGAGCAGTATTTTGTAGTTTTCATTGTAAAGGTCTTTCACTTCTCTGGTTAGGAAGATGCAGGGGTATTTCGTTTTTTGTTTTTGTTGCTATTGTAAATGGGATTGTGCTTTTTATTTGGTTCTCTGCCTGTTTGTTGTTGGTGTATAAGAATGCATGTTGATTTTGTACACTGAGACTTTGCCAAAATCCTTTATCAATGCAAGAAGGTTTTTAACAGGTTCTCTTGGGTTTTCAAGGTACAGAATCATATTGTCAGCAAAAAGGGATAACTTGATTTTCTCTTTTTCTATTTGGATATCCCTGATTTCCTTCTCTGGTCTGATTGCTCTATCTAGAACTTCCAACAATATGTTGAACAGTAGGGGTGAAAGTGAGCAGCTTTGTCTTCTTCCAGTTTTCAGGGGAAATGCTTTCAATTTCTTTCCGTTTAGCAATATGTTGGCTGTGGGTTTCTCATAGATGGCTGCTACTATTTTAAGGTATGTTCCCTCTATGCCTAGGTGTTCAAGAGTTTTTAACAAGAAGTGATGCTGGATTTTATCAAAAGCTTTTTCTGCGTCTAATGTTATAATCATGTAATTCGTATGTTTACATCTGTTGATGTTTTTAATTACATTTATGGTCTTGCAGATGTTGAACCAGCCCTGCATCCTGGAGATGAAGCCTACTTGGTCTTGTCTTATTGTCTTAATGTTTTTCTTTAGGTCTTCACTTCCTAAACTTCAATGAAAGTATTTATTTTAATGTTGTATTTGAGCACAGCATGGTCTGCATGTCTGCCACTTGTGAGCACAGCCCTCAGGTACATCCTTTCATTGCAGGAGACATGACCGTCCAGTGCCACTACTGTACTCACTACTCCTCGGCCATTATTGTTGCCTCCTACCTCGTCCGGATGCCACCCTTCACTCAGGCATTTTGTGCTCTGCAGGTGAGTTGGTACCTGCTCCTCCTACACATGGACGCGTGTGCGCACGCGCGCACGCACGTGCACGCACGCACACACACACACACACACACACACACACACACACACACACACACAAATACACGCAGCTGTATCACACAGTCCAAGACCTGGGCTTCGATAAGGAGGGAGCCCCTCTGCTAAAAACTTGATCATTAGCCAGTGATTTCTCCCTTGACATTGGCCCCAGGGTTCTTGTCTTCCTGCCAAGGCAGGCTGTTCATCAATTACACCTGCACATCTGCTCAACAGAGTCTTACAAAAAGACACTAAAAATTTTTTTTTGTAATGAGATATGAAAACATTACTTAGCGTATATAAGATTTAGTGGAAAAGGAAAAGCAGGAAGTTTGCAGACTAGAAAGGAAGGCAGTCAAAAATTAGAAAAATAAATACAAGAAGTACAAGAAGGAACAATGAAAAGAATATGACTCAAGACATGAAAATGTGTAAATCTGTGCTAAGTGCAAACTGAAAGTTTCCAATGGACAAACAAAATACTTGAAGACTGAAATGAACAGCTAAACCAGAGAAAGCAACTTAGCTGCCTGTAAAGTAATGGACTATTATACCAGCTTAGAGTTGCCAGGTTTTGCAAATAAAAAATACAGGATGCCTAGTTAAATTTGAATTCCAGTTAAAGTGTGAATTGTTGGTTATTTATCTGAAATTCAAATTTACCTGGGCCTCCTGCATTTTACCTGGTCAGTCTGACTCTCAAATGGATGGTGGTGTCCAAGGCAAGTGGGATCTCTGGAACAGAGTCCCTTGCGGGCAGCATTGTGAGGGTGCTGAGAAACTCTTTCCCCCTCTTCCCCTCCCATCCTCATCAGTGGGATCCTTCTTTCAAGGAATCCCTTATCTCAGGGTACAGCTTTTGAATAGGGAGAACCCTCCAACAGCCCACCTGTCTCAGCTGATTCCAAAATGAAGACAACCCGAGTTTATGGGCTGACCCAATCCATACCTTGCAATAATCTGATGCAGAAGAAGACATGAGCTGGGGTGAGCAACGGGCCACCAAACACATCTAAGCATCATCTCAGAAAAGCATGAGTATCCCAGAAAAGCATGAGTGTCTGGTCTGATCTCATCAAAAAGTTCACACTTTGTACTCACTCAGAGGACCTTGATTTCTGAGAAACCAAAGGACACCCTGGGTCAGCACTAAAGACAAGCCCCGCTGAACCCTGGGCAGGAATAAGTAGACACGGTCAAGATGCTTTCTCCAAATAAGTAATGAACCCCCCTCCCGTCTTGTTTCTTGGCACTGCTTTCTCTCTCCTTGGAGGCAAGGCTCCTCTAGACATTGTATAGCCCCCTCTCCCTGGAAATTCACTCAAAAATAGTGTGTGTTTCCCCTGAGTCTTTCTCAAGAAACAAGCATTTTAAGTAAGTTTGGTTTGGAGAACAAATGGTCCCAGAGCTATACCCCATGCCAGGATTCCCATCCAGATGTTGCTCATTAATCTGCAAGAAATGATGATCACTGTTGATGATGATAGTGATGGATTCTGTTACTGGTTTCCATCCAGGGAATTTAAATGTTTAAATGTTCAAGATGCTTTCAAAGTTTCCCTTGCCCCTTCAGTGGGATACATTACAGCCGGGAGCCCCAGCTCCACCTGTTGCTTAGGATCTTTTCACATTGGGAGGAGATGGAGTGAAAGAGAAATACGAGATTTACATCCCAGCTCTGCCACTTAATAGATACAAAAATCTTCTGCAAGTTATTTTACCTCCCGAAATGAGGGTTAATTAGGCATATCTCACTGGGCTGTTGAGAAGATTAAATGAGAAAATATGAAGAAAGCCCCTAGCCTAGAGCTTGACACTACATAGGTGATCAATCACTGTTAGTTCCCTTCTTCCCTCTGCAATCAGCCAGATCTAATCTGAGCAGGTTTGAACTTGTTCAAGCTGGTCTCCTATGGTATAAGCTTATTTAAGCCAGTCTGTATTGCATCAATATATTCCAACTTAGTAAGAGCCAGATAAAACAGGTGTGTCGTGACCCCAAGAGGATATTTGGGTTATGGCCACTTTGAAGTTAGTGACTAGTATGGGCTTATCCTAGCCAATGTGGTCTATGGATGACCAGACAAAACTAGTTTGAGATGGTCTATACCAGTGTGAGCTAGATGATCAGAGATAATTTTATATGCTTTTAATAGCACAAATGTAGTCATATTAGCTTGAGCCCTTTTGACTCCCATGTTAATGTCCCTAATGTGACTCCTGGTTTGGGGGAGCTCAAATCTGTCTTTGACAAATTGGCCCATCCAAGTTGAAATCACGTGGGCTCTCTCCATGTGCTTCTGAATTGGTCTCACCTTTCTACTATTAAATGACTCTTCTCATGGGCCACAACTGGTCAAGCCTTTTTTTTTTATTTTAAAGATGTACAATTGTACCCCTCAATTATGGTGTTCAATTCAGGACTAGATATACAAGTGGTCATCATACAGGTAGAGTCTGGACATCCCTTTGGTCCCCACTTCACCTGGTTTGAGATCAGATACCCTTATTGATGTTATGTGTCCCCATCTCCCCTGACAGTTTTTGGCTACTACCAATCCTTTTCATATAATTTTATGGTAAATGTTCAGGGTCTGTTTATAAGTGAGAACATGTGGTACTTTGTTCTTTGTTTCTGTGATAGATCACTGAGTATTATAAACTCTAAATCCATGCAAGTTGCTGCAACGTCAATAAGTTTGTCCTTGTTTATGGCTGTATAATATTCCATCATGTATATGTACCACATTTTTTCCAGTCCAGTTTTGATGGGCAGCACATTTGATTCCATGAAGAGTGCTACAATAAACATGTGCATGTATAGGTATCTTTTTGTAGAATGATTTGAGTTCCTCCAGGTACAGTCCCAGTAGGGAGATTGCTGGGTCATATGGAAGGTCACTTTCTAGTTCTTTTAGAAATTGTCACACTGTCTTCCAAAGAGGTTGCACTAGCTTGGATTCCCACCAACAGTGTAGAAGTGTTCCCTTTTCTCCACATCCTCACCAACATCTGTTGTTTTTTATTTTATTAATGATGGCCATTCTTACTGGGATTAGGTGGTATCTCAATGAGGTTTTGGTTTGTGTTTCTCTGATGATTAGTGGGGCTGAGCACTTTTTCATATGTCGTTAGCTGCATATGTGTCTTATTTTGAGAAGTGTCTATTCATGTTTTTTTCCCACTTTTTAGTGTGGCTGTTTTGTTGTTGTTGTTGCTTTCCTTTTGGCACGTTTGAGTTCCTTGTAAATACTGGATGTTAGGCCTTTGTCAGAAATACAGTTGGCAGATATTTTTCTCCCATTCTGTATATTGTCTCCCTGCTGTCTTGGTGGTATCTTTTGTTTTAAAGAAGGTTTTCAGTTTGACGAGGTCCTTCTTTTGTATCTTATCTCTTATGGCATGGGCATCTGGGGTTTTGAACAGGAATTGGTTGCCTATTCCAATTTCCATAAGGGCGTCTCCTACGTTTTCTAAGATTGTTATAGTTTGAATGGCAACTTCTTGAAGTCAGGCTCTTCCCTCCATCCTACCCTGCCTCCTAGTGGGTAGACCTGTCTCTTCTCAAGAGACCTTTACTTCGTGCCTTTCTGTGGTGACAAGAAGACTAGCCTCTCTTAGTGTCAGCAGCCTGAGGCACTGACTCCCAACCTGGGGGAGATCAAGGAGTGGGGAAGAGAGAATAGTGGGGAGAGTGCAGAACTCATGCAGTGAGGCTTTCTTCATTTAATAAAGACCAAAGCAAATAAGAAAGTGCCTACTTTTCCACTTTGCATGTAGACTCAGCATAAGACAGTGCATACTTTTCCACTCTGCACTGAGCAAACACCATCACTCACCTATTAACACAAATAAGTGAGAGTTGAGCCCTCATCTATGTTTGACCTTGAGCAGATTGTTTTCTTTCTCTGGGACTCAGGTTCCTTCTTGGTGAAATAAAGAAGATGGGAGAGATGATCACCTCTAAAGGCCCTTCACAACAGTTCTAACCTCTAAACTCATTAAGCACCTACTGTGTGCCTGGATAGTGCTAGGTATCTTACAAGTATTACATAAATTTTTAAAAACACTTTATTGTTGTAAAATATGTATGTTTTACCCCAAGTTCATTCACATTGTTGTGCAACCATCACCACCATCCATCCCCAGAACTTTTTCATCTTCCCAAACTGAAACTCTCTACCCATTAAGGAATAACTCTCCTATCATCCCTTCCCACAGCACCTGAAACCTACCATTCTACTTTCTGTCTCTATAAATTTGACTACTCTAAGTTTCATATACATGGGATCATACAATATTTATCCTTTTGTGATTGACTTCTTGCACTTACCATAATGTCCTCAAGGTTTATCCATGTTGTAGCATGCATCAGATTTCCTAAGACTGAATAATAGTCTATTGTATGTATCTACCACATATTGTTTATCCATTCATCCAGCGAGGGACACTGGTTGCTTCCACCTTTTGACTATTGTGAATAGCGCTGTCATGGATATTGCTGTGCCTTATATATGTCATTAACTCATTGGACTCTCACAAGTTTGTGAGAGGGTACTGTGATTAATTGTAGGATCCTGAGCCTCTAGGAGGTCACAACCCTCGGGAAATGACAGGAGAAATGAGACGGCTCCAGCCCTGGGGATACCGAACCTAAAACACTCACTGTAAATAAAGCGAGGTGGGATCTACGGTGGTTGTCCAGAGGAGACAGAGTGCTGGGGTCACATGCATTTTCAACATCATATTTTCAGTAGAACACTGAGGATATCACACACACATGTAAGTAGGTGGTATACATGAAATGTAGGTGCTGCAGCATGTGTGGGCAGCCTGGTACCCCCTAGTGCACCCAGTGCAGAGTGACAGAAAGCATGATGGCTCTGCCATGCTGTTACATGCTGTGTGCCTATGCAGCACACCCAGTGTGGCCTGAGGGGCTGCTG